TTTGGAGATATGAGAAGTTCACTAATAGTGATAAAATAATAAAACTGGCAGTGATATAGCTCGCACAGTTTGTTGAATAATGTCTTTGTTGTATTGTATTAGTCCTTGAAATTATGAAAAATAATTTTAATAAATACCACGTATTATTTTCGATTGCAGAAAAAGATGGAATTATTTCAATTCGATTTTTTAATTTAATTTTATTATATTTCAATTAGATCTGCATCGAATTGTCCTTATAATTCCGCCCATGCTATTTCACTGATCAAAATCGAGCTTCTATTATCTTTTTGTTTCATCCTCTCCTGTAACGATAATGTCACCTCATTGCACCACACAATATCTATTTTAAAAAGAGGATTTATATTCATGTAAGAATTTGTCGGAAGATGAATGGTTTTTCCACTTTGTGTTTATTCCCCCCGGCAATCGTCCCAGTTATGATTTCAATTGACGAGAATGAAAATTCTCCCTTCAAATCTTGATTTTGCATAATACAACATCAGAAAAATGACCATTCAATTTTCCAACTTTACCAGGGCACATTACCCACCCCCCACTATGCGACTACGGTCGCGCAAGCGCGCTAACGGTGCGCTTAGTTCCTAGGCCATACAATGGAGGCGCTGGGTGAACGTCCAACTTTAAGGTATGATACAGGCAGGTATTCTTAAGGGGTAACGAAACCCGTCGCACGTAGAGGTTAGGGGTCCCCCCTATCGGTATTGCAGGTTCCCGTGGTTTTTTTTATTTTGTATGTGAAAAGTACAAAAGTCCATAAAACATAAATAAATGGATATAAATAAATAATAATGGTATGGAAACATTCTACATCATCTTCTGACTCATAAAAGTACTTCCCTCTTACAATTGGTGCCCTGTAAAGGACATGTTACCTCCTGGATACCACCCAATCATCATAAACAAGTTTTTACGGAAATGACGCAACAAAAGTACATTTTTGTACTCAAAATCTCTGTCTTGGACCTCACTCGATCGCTCTTTTCTCATGAAAATAGCCATCGGCTAAGAAAAATCTACAAAAAATCGGTTTTTCTACCATAACTTGGCAGATTTCTACAAATAAAATGGCGTCGGCCTTGCCTNTGTCCTTATAATTCCGCCCATGCTATTTCACTGATCAAAATCGAGCTTCTATTATCTTTTTGTTTCATCCTCTCCTGTAACGATAATGTCACCTCATTGCACCACACAATATCTATTTTAAAAAGAGGATTTATATTCATGTAAGAATTTGTCGGAAGATGAATGGTTTTTCCACTTTGTGTTTATTCCCCCCGGCAATCGTCCCAGTTATGATTTCAATTGACGAGAATGAAAATTCTCCCTTCAAATCTTGATTTTGCATAATACAACATCAGAAAAATGACCATTCAATTTTCCAACTTTACCAGGGCACATTACCCACCCCCCACTATGCGACTACGGTCGCGCAAGCGCGCTAACGGTGCGCTTAGTTCCTAGGCCATACAATGGAGGCGCTGGGTGAACGTCCAACTTTAAGGTATGATACAGGCAGGTATTCTTAAGGGGTAACGAAACCCGTCGCACGTAGAGGTTAGGGGTCCCCCCTATCGGTATTGCAGGTTCCCGTGGTTTTTTTTATTTTGTATGTGAAAAGTACAAAAGTCCATAAAACATAAATAAATGGATATAAATAAATAATAATGGTATGGAAACATTCTACATCATCTTCTGACTCATAAAAGTACTTCCCTCTTACAATTGGTGCCCTGTAAAGGACATGTTACCTCCTGGATACCACCCAATCATCATAAACAAGTTTTTACGGAAATGACGCAACAAAAGTACGTTTTTCTACTCAAAATCTCTGTCTTGGACCTCACTCGATCGCTCTTTTCTCATGAAAATAGCCATCGGCTAAGAAAAATCTACAAAAAATCGGTTTTTCTACCATAACTTGGCAGATTTCTACAAATAAAATGGCGTCGGCCTTGCCTTGGTCCTTGCCGTTGAATAATTTGCAATTTTTTTTTGCATAAATAAGAAAAGTATGAGAAGAGAGCGATGCGTTCCGCTATTTTCAATACAGGGAAAAAGTTTCATTGATTCTCATTGCATGGAATCCAAGAAAACTTATTTTTGGTAAACGTCTTTTTGTGGTCGGTTCCGTTACCCCTTAAGCCAGCAAACAGGGGACAAGTTCGCTTGAGCGCCTGAAGACGGCGTTCCAGTCGATTTCCTCTTTCCCTCATCTCTTTTACTACCCCACCAACCGCTATTGCTCGGCTGGTGGGAACGTTATGAAATGTGTATTTGAAGTGAAAATTACTGGAAAACCATGTGAAATTCCATTGTGTAAAATTTAAAAAAATAAAGAATATTGAAACATATTTTTACGTTTTACTATGTCTTATTCACCTATTTATTACCAGGCCGATTCTACCATAATTAATTATTTCTCCTCTATTTAGCGCTCAATGAAAAACCCTCGATCATTTGTCATCTATACATTCGCTGAGAGAATAGGGCTCAGTCGATGAACTCATGATGAGTTTTCATAGATATCCCGAAATCGAAGGGGACTCTTATTTTACTCATATGACCCGTATTTTACCCTCATAACTTAACGCGTCCAGGTACATCCAAATTAACATCTTCGAAATCTCATGAGATAAAGCCCATTCGATTTTCCTCCTAAGATTTTTAATCGTACTACTCTCTAATCATCATCAGATTGAAATTTTTTCATAATGAAAAAAAAAAACAAGAAAAAAAAAAGAAAAAAACCTTCGCGACCGAGATTTGAACTCCCGACGCCGAGAGCATATGCGAGTGGAAGGGGACGTTGTGCGCGTGAGGGGAAGAGACGGGCCAGCGCCGCGCACGGTGGCCAGTGGTACTTGTCCCCTGTGTTGGTGTGTCGGCGACATCAAACGTTAAGAATACCTCCCTGTATCATATCCAACTTGGACCACCAGTGTCTTACAGGATAGTCTATCCCAAAGAGGATAGACCTGAGTAGAGGCCCGAATCGGGGGGTTTGACTGACTCCAAAAATGTTAGTTGGTACCCCACGAGAAAGGCGGCGTCCCGGTCGAATTGTCGGTAAATGTGAGTCGGGTGCGTGAGTAACTCGGCAGTAGCAGTCCCGCTGTGACAGGGACAGGTTCAGAGGGGGACTTTTGTCCTCCTTGTACTCAATATTTATTTTATGTTTTTCAGTTGATTTATTCGCCGACTAATTAATATTAAGGGATGAAACAAAGACTGTTCAATGGACAATTAAATTCCCCATCAATCAACCCCCGTTTCATCCCTTAATCTCTGCAATAAAAAAATGAATATTGCGACGAAAGTCACGGCGCTATAAGAAACCTAATGTTTTCTCGGCGCAGAGTGACTCCCCAATAATTCGCCCGCTAATTAAAAAATCGTCTCTCCCCTCCTAATTAACATTAAGGAATGAAACCAATGCTGTTCGATGGAGAATTAAATTCCCCATCCTTCAACCCCCGTTTCATTCCTTAATCTCTGTAATAAAAAAATAAAAACTGCGACGAAA